AAAGTGAGTAGCCAGCCCGTGGCCCTTTAAGGGCTCCGGGGCCGGGAGGGGGGCAATAGAGTTTCCCTGGTGTTGGCCAGAGTGGCCACCAGGGAAAACTGGGAAGCCTTAGGCTCCCCCAGCTGGGTGCTGGCAGGCTTGCACCTGGCACGGGCACCGTAGCCAGCCCGTGCCCCTTTCAGGGGTCCGGGGCCGGGAGGGGGGCATAGAGTTTCCCTGGTGTTGGCCAGAGTGGCCACCAGGGAAACCTGGGAAGCCTTAGCCTCCCACTAGTTCGAACTAAAGGGCTACACAGCCCTTAGTTCGAACTAGCTAGTTCGAACTAGGCGTTAGTCCTCGTAAAATGAGGTTTACCTAGTTCGAACTAAGCGCTCCGTTAGTTCGAATTAAGTTCGAACTAACGGAGCGCTAGTGTAGCGCATAGGAAAGTTAGTTCGAACTAACGTCCGTTAGTTCGAACTAACTTTCTAGTGTAGACATACCCTATGTCCCCTCAAGCTAAGTCAAGAAATAATGAAATATCTGCATCAAAAGAGATTTAAGTTAAATATTAGGAAAAACTTTTTAACTATAGGGTGATTAAGTTTTGGAATAGGTTGCCAAGGGAGGATGTGGAATCCCCAATTACTGGAGGTTTTAAAGAACAGGTTGGATGCATATCTGTTACATGTGTTCTAAGCTAACTTGGTCTTCCTTTAGCACAGGGAGATGGATTGATGATCTCTCAAGATCCCTTACTGCCCTGCAGTTCTACGATTCTATGAAGACCTGGCCTCAGTTATCCACGCCTTTGTCACCTCCTTTTTGGTTAACGGCTATGCAATATACCTGGATGCTTGAAATCTTCAGCATTTAGGAAACTGTATCTATTCCAGAATGCCACAGTGCATCTCTTCAGCAACATAGGCTACCAAGAATATATTAAATACGTCCTCTACTTTCTATATTGACTTCCAATAGAATCAAATTCAACATCTCAGTCCTGATCTTCAAAGCACTCCATGACCTCAGCCGAAGATATGTGAAAAACCATCTGACGTTCTAGAATGAAGACTGTGGCTGCTGACTGCTCTCCTTTCACATAATGGAACTCTCAACGATAAGGCTACATCTAGACTGGCAAGATTTAGAGCAAATACTCTAAACGCAAGAGTTTTTGCGTTAGAGTATTTGAGCAAGGGAGCGTCTATACTGGCATGTGCCTTTGTGCAAAAGATTTGCTTTTGCGCAAAAGCATCCGTGCCAGTGTAGACACTCTCTTGCGCAAGAAAGCTCCAATGGCCATTTTAGCCATCGGGCTTTCTTGCGCAAGAAATTGATGTTACCTGTCTACACTGGCCTTTTGCGCAAGAACACTTGCGCAAAAGGACTTATCCCTGAACGGAAGCGTCAGAGTATTTGTGCAAAAAGCACTGATTTCATACATTAGAACGTCAGTGTTCTTGCGCAAATACTCACGGCCAGTGTAGACAGGTGGCAAGATTTTGCGCACAAGCGGCCACTTTTGCTTTATATCTTGCCAATGTAGACGTAGCCTAAGAGTAAAACTTGTTCATATAGGAAATAGCTTTCTCTGGGAAGAAGTCTGAGACTTTCTAATGAATTCCCCCAAGAACTAAGGACTATCATAAACCTCATCACTTCAGGTGTGAAGTGCAGTTCTTTGACTTTGCCCTTTCTAATATAAACACATAGTAACATGTGCGTGTGTGTATATATATATAATCCTCTATGGCCACCCAGTTCCAACGGCAGCACAGAAGTAAGAGTGGCAATACCATGACTCCCTGCTACAATAATCAGATTTCACAGAAGAGATCAGATTTCATGGTCCTTTATGCATTTTTCATAGTCATGAATTTGATAGAGCTTTATTTACATATTAGTCAATAATACAACTTGTTCAATAATATGTTCTTTTCACTTACAACGGCCTTAATTATACCAAAATATTAAGTGGGATACTGAACAGAAGAAAGGACATTGCCTTTGCTTTAAGTTAATGCAACCTGCAATTTTTGGAAATCTGTGAACCTTTAGATATTATGAACTTCGGGATATCTTAGATTTTCTCAAACACTCACAGTTATACTTTTTGTAGCACACACTGGAAAGCAATCTGAATGCCTGTTCTAATGTATGTATCACTAGAATTAATGTATGTATTTCACCAAGTACTCTTGAATTTAAAATATTTCCAACTCCCCTCCCTTTGCCCCACCATCCCAGTACAATGAAAATGCTTTACCTGGTATTTTAAAGGTGAAGTGATCAGCTACTGAATGGCAGAGTCTGCCCTTCTGGTTACATAATCTAGCTATAAAGTACAAGTAGTCTAGAGGAGTGGCTCCATGGTAATAAACAATCAGCGCTGGTCCTTCTGGGATTTTTTCCACACCATGAAGCTCATAACCTTCAAGTAAACAAAATCCAATTAGTTTTATACCAGTCAAGCTGTGATTTAACATAAGTTCCATACTCAATACAAGCAGTCACCTTTCTTTGGGCCCAAAGAATGTGTGCCACCTATTATATACTTTGTACATGGCAGACTGGTATTCTACTCCCTATATGAAATATCACCAAAAAATCCATATCTGCACCTAGTAGGCATACAGCTGCAAAGCTAGATATCACTAGTTCACCCAAGAATTGGTGTTCTTTGTAATATTAAGTTAATGCAATGGTGTATAATCTGTAAAAGTCGTCCTTAAAACACAATACTGCAGGGATATTATATTAGCTATAGGACAGTTAAATGTTACTCAATTTTGTAATATTTTGTTTCTCAAAGAAAGAGTTTTCAATTCAAATATAGCAGTAGACATTCATAATACTGAAAGACTAATGACAAGAGAGCCCCGAGGTCCACGTCAACAGCATCAGTTTGGAACACAAATTTCTGAATGAATGAATGAATGAATGAATGAATTGAATTGAATTGAATTGAATTGAATGAATGGCAGGGAATTGATGCAGGATTTTTTTTACCGTAAAAAAGACTTTGTCACACACAATCATCCAGAGAATTTGCTCTGGAATAGTTAAAGGAGCAAACAGCATGATAAAGTGGGGTATGAAGTAACTAGATAATATTTGGGGAACCAGGGTTTTCTTTAGTGCTTTCACTTTATTTAAGAGGTATTGGGTTAATGTTTAAAGAAAAAATCTTGCTTACCATGCCATAACTTTCCATATAAATCCCAGAGGCATACCACCATTTGCTTTCCATTGTCCCATAATTTACTAGAATAATCCCCATTTAGGTAATTTTTCTTCTTATAAACATTAAGGAGAAGACTAGAAAAGTAGAGAACACCAAACAGAATTATATGAAATGCAAACAGCATTATAAATGGAATTAACAGCAAAAAGAAGTAGATACGTAATCCAGATAATCTTAGGGTACTCCAGACCAGTCAATTCTTCCAATATGTAATTCAGATAGGTCATATAGTTTACAAGTTTCTGCTCTGAAATATTGGATTTACTTCTGCTTAGCATCTCCTGTTAAAAAGAGAACGAAAAAAACCTAAGTCTAAAACCCTTCATAGTCAAAGCAACATTCTTAGCTTTTCCACTAGGAAAAAATTACCTTATCTTTTATTCTCACTACTAGTAGAGCAGTTCCACACATTTTTATTTCATTTAAATGAATGTTCTTAACATTAACTGACTCTCCTAAATAAACTAGGGCTTTGATATATGGTTCATACTATGGTTATATATATAAATATGTGTTATTTTTTTATTGATATTGTGATAGTGTTCAGAGACACCAGATAGTTTTCCAATGTACTGGGCACTGTAAGAAAGCACACATTAAGATACTGTCTCCGTCCTGGGCAGCTTCCAGCCCAAGGCTCTGATTCCACAAATGTATTCTTGACTTCAATAGGAATACTCATATGCTTAAAGTTAAACATAAAGGGGGGACATGATAGCGGTTTTCAAATATCTAAAAGGGTGTCACAAGGAGGAAGGAGAAAATTTGTTTCTCTTGGATTCTAAAGACAGGACAAGGCTTAAAGTGCAGCAGGGGAGGTTTAGACTGGACATTAGGAAAAAATTCCTAACTGTCAGGGTGGTCAATATTGGAATAAATTGCCAAGGGAGGTGGTGGAATCTCCCTCTCTGGAGATATTTAAGAACAGGTTAGATATACATCTGTCAGGGATGGTGTAGACGGAGCTTGGTCCTGCCTTGAGGGCGGGGGGCTGGACTCGATGACCTCTCGAGGTCCCTTCCAGTCCTATTATTCTATGATTCTATGATTCTATATGCATAAGAGATGTCAGGATTACAGCCTAAGACTACAAGTGATATGCAAAAGATGGAGGAAAAGATACAAAGTCCATTTCTATATACATTATACACGTAGATTTTGTAGAATACCAACCATACTTTTTTTCCCTCAACCTATCCTTAATTAGTTGGTAATTTCTTGGAGCTTTCACAGAAGATATGGGTCTTAAAGATGGTTTTGAAAGACAAGGTAATAAATAGTATTAAAATTCAGTTTGGGGATGGAGTTACAGATATGGGAAGTGTGGGAAATAGTTGTGAAAGAAACAAATAAAAGAATGGACAATGCTAGAATCACTAGGGCTGTGTCTACACTGGCCGCTTGAATTTCCACAAGAACACTGACGATCTCATGTAAGAAATCAGTGCTTCTTGCAGAAATACTATGCTGCTCCCATTTGGGCAAAAGTTCTTTTGTGCAAAAGCTTTTGCGAGAAAATGGCGATTGGGGCTTTTTTGCGCAAAAGCACGTCTAGATTGGCACGGACGCTTTTCCGCAAAAAGTGCTTTTGCGCAAAAGCGTTTGTGCTAATCTAGACGCTCTTTTTAACAGAAAGCATTATTTTGACATAATTGCTGTGTAAATGTATCCTTGAATGGGGTTGGGGGTTGGAACAGGCTGGGTGAATCATGTCTTGAGTATTAGGGTTGTCTGAGTGACAAATGTTGCGGCAGTTATGTGGGTGAGGATTGTTGGGGTGGTATTTCGGTAGCTGGGTTCAGATTTGTGTGGTGATGGGTTCTGGGACAGCTTGGCAGGGCATCTCTAGTTTTGGCTGGGATGGGTGGGTGTGTCATAGCATTTGAGTGAGAGTTTTGGTGGTGGGCAGAGGATATTTGGTGGTTTGTTTGGTGGTATATGGGAAGGTTGAGACAGATAAATTGGGAGTGGGTGGTAGTAAGGATGGAGTTGTCTTCTGGAGCAGTTGGGTGGGGATAAGGGGTATCTAGTGGGGAACCTGAATGGTGGGCAGGGGTGTCAAGTGGTGAATAGGAGCATCAAGGCATTAGGTAGGGGGAGAGGTGTTAGACAGAAGTGCCAGGACTTTGGGTGGGACTTTGAGGTAGCTGATGGGATCAGTTGAGTGGAGTCTTAGGGCAGTTAGGTCTCACAAAAGTTGGATAAGGATGTCAGGGCAGTGGGGTGTTGGGGCAATTGGGTGGAGGTGCCGGGACAGATGGGAAGCATCAGGGCAGTTGTGAGGCTGTCAGACCATATGGGAGGTGTCAGGGCAGTTGGCTGGAAGTGCTGGAGCAGTTGGGGTCAGGGCAGTTGGTGGGAGGTACTGGGGCAGTTGGGGGGTATGAGAGCAGTTGTGTGTCAGGACAACTAGGTGGAAGTTCCAGGGCAATTGGTGGGGGGAGGGTCAGGGCAGTTGAATGGAAATGCTGAGGCAGTTGAGGAGGGTCAGGGCAGTTTGGGGGGTTAGGACAGTTGGGTGGAGAGGCCGAGGCAGTTGGAAGAATCAGGGCAGGCGGGGGGGCAGGGCTTTTGGGGGGGCCAGGGCAGTTGGGTGGAGATGCTGGGGCAGTTGGGGGGGTCAAGGCAGTTGGGTGGAAGTGCCGTTGAAGGGGCATCAGGCCAGGTGGGGGGAGTCAAGGCAGTAGGGTAGGGGTGCGGTGGCAGATGGGAGATGCCGGGTCAGTCGAATGGAGGTGTGGGGCAGTTGGGTGGAGGTGCCAGGGCAGTTGGGTGACAGTTGGGTGGGGACCTGAGGCACTGGGCTGGGAGGAAGGTGCGGGGTGCTGGCGAGGCTGGTGCCCTCCTCACCGTTGCTGGCCATGGCTGGGTGGACTCCCCTTCCTGCTGGCTGCGGGGCTGGCTACAATCCAATAGAGAACCCAACATCAGCATGAGGTGAAACCAAGAGAGCACCTGGCTCCCAGCAGCTGCTGCACCATCCCCTGGTGAGTGGGATGACATACTGCAGAGAAAGCCCAGAGGAAGCGCTGTACCACTGCAAGACGAGTGCGATATCCCAGCTGGACTGCAGGGAGCTGTGACAGGGCTGATGAATGTACAAATGTTTTGTGAGATGAGTTGTGATCCCGGCTCATCAGCCCTCCTTGAAACCACTGTACCACTGTACAGTCTGAATGGACAGGTGTTGGTTATACTGAGTGTGGCAGTACTCGACTTTGGTTAGGTTGTGTAATTTTAAAAACAGGTTTATCTTTAACATTTATTTTCCTAGCCATTACTACATGTACTAGAAAGTAGATGAAACAGGACATATCCTTCTGTAAATATATCAGTGTTGAACAGTCCATTTTTTTAATAAAAAAAAGGATTTTTTTTTCTAAACTCAAGTTTGCAGTGATTCAGGTGTCCACAAGGAGATTAGGTTAGTATAACTACATTACTCAGTTGTAGGAAAAATCCCCAACTACTGTGTACATCCCCTCTAGAAATGTATCCTCTCTAGTGCTGTGGCCCCTGACTCCTTTGGGGCAGTAGGCTAGGAACAAAGGGTATGTCTAACAGCATAAAGAAAACCTGCAGCACCGAATCTCAAAGCCTAGGTCAACTGACTTGGAAAGATGACCAGTTTGTTTAAATAGTATAGTTAAAATTTACATATTTTGTTGTGGAATATTTAAATCTATTGTTTACTATACCTTACTTTAAACAATTACAAATTTTCTTCACACAATATATTACAAAATACATGCATGACATGGTCTATCTTTCTCCCATTAGCAAGGAGAAACAGATGTAAAACCGGTTTTGTGATGCTGACTTTTTTGCGTCAGAATAAAATTGTCTGCTATCATGTGGTTAAGCATCTCCAATGGATTTCTTTCAGTTTAACAAACCTTTCCATTTACTTTTAGTATTTGGTTTGAAGTTGCCCACTGGAGAGTTTTGCTTCTTTTTGACTTGTTTGGTTTGGAGTGGAGCGGTTTTGGGGAAAGGGCTTCCCTTCCTGTCCTTCCCCCACCCCCATATAATTCTGTTATTTAAAACTTCCAAAGGAAGGTGGAATTCTATATAACTAGAGAGGGCCTACCAGATTTAGTCTTAGTATCACAAATCTTTTCTTTATGGCTTGTCTTCACCTGCTGTTTGAGCCCACCTCAAGCATAACTATAAAGAAGAAAAACACACCTGATAGAACAACGAGAAGTCCTGTGGCACCTTATAGACTAACAGATTTATTGGAGCATAAGCTTTCATGGGAAAAAACCCACTTTGTCAGATGCACGCATCTGATGAAGTGGGTCTTTGCCCATGAAAGCTTATGCTCCAATAAATCTGTTAGTCTATAAGGTGCCACAGGACTTCTGGTTGTTCTTGGAGATTCAGACTAACACTGTTTTCCCTCCGATACTTGACACCTGATAGAGTAAATGAACTGTAGATATATCCTTAAATAGCTGTTGATTTGTGACCAAGGGTTGTCACAGAGTACCCCTTTGTCCCAGTACAGCCCTGAAGGTGCTCTGCTCTCAGTTCCCTCTTTTGGCCCTCAGAAGAACTGATTCTCAGGCCAGAATACTTAAAGACCTATTTGGGATTTGAACCCACCCCCATAGAAGTCATTAGCAACATGACAGATGTGATACTTTGGAAACATGGACTATTCAGACTATTGTTGAGATGTGACATACGCTATGGACGCCTAGAATAGTCGAAGACTTGTATTAGCTTTATAAATGTTATACAAATTGTATCTTCACCTTAATATAGGAATTCAAATAACGAGTGGCTAATTAATGCAAATTGCTAATGCAGGTCACAAATCTGTGGGAGTTTCACCCCCAAGGGATCAATAGGACTGGCCAACAAAGAACTGTAAATGGTACAAAGTGACTAAACTGATGTAGGGATATAGGGTCACTCACCCTTGATCCAAGAACGGGCATGAGTCTATGACCAAGAGGGACAGGACCTGTGAAGTACTTTGGGACCGATCAGATTTCCCATATGCTGTACTGGCAACAGGAGTTGAGCACAAATCCCAATGGCTGAGGAGGAAGATCCATTTGTCCCTCAGACTGAAAGGTTCATGGTCACTGTACCCAAGAGGAGGAGACACAGTGCTGCTGGTCAGGGGCTCCCTTTTGAGAAGAACAGATGCATTCATCCGCTAACCTGACTTGATATCCTAGGAGTTGTGCTGCCTGTCTGGAGCCTGCATTGAGACATGAAAATTGACAAGACTCATCCATCACTCTGATTACTACTCCATGTGGTCACTGCCAGGTCTGAGCGTGAAAAGGTCAGCAGTGACTATAGGTTTCTGGGAGCAAGGGAGAAGGCAAATGAGTCAGGAGTGCAGGTTGTGTTCTTGTCCATCCTCTCAGTTGAGAGTAAGGACCTAGGCAAACACATGCACATCCTGCAGATTAATGCATGACTTGTAATTGATATTGACAGGAGGGATACTGTTCCAGGAAGAATATCTGGTAGGAAGAGGTGGGGGTCCACCCAAGGGTGTCCGAACCTTTGCAGGTCACTTTGTGGGTCATTGACGCTGGAACTAGGGAGTCAGGGGATTGTGCCATCCACTTTTAACATCAGCATAGTTGGAGCACAAGGGGTGGCATTGCTACCTCAAACTGCAAGCTTTGGTCAGGTATGGAGTGTCACTAGCAAGTGGGCAGTATTTTGCAGTGGTGTTGTCCTCCCAACTCTAAGCCTTGGGCAGGCATGAAACTGCACTGGAAGGGCAGCAGAGCTGACACTTCTCCATGCCTCCCTGAGGGGAGCAGTTTGAGTGGGACAACATTGCCCCTGCTCTCCAAACTATGCCCATGTTAAAAAGTGTGGGGAGGGGAACTTGGCCCCCAGGCTTTGTGGATCCTGACACCATTGGGTCCATCTGGATAACAGGGGAAGAACATCTTCCTGCACCAACTTGCCAACTTAATGAGGAGGGCTTTAAATTAGGCTCAAAGGAGACAGATGATGAAAGCTCTCAGGTAAGTATAAAAAAGAGTGACCATAACTGAGGATTATATATTGTAGGGGACATGAAAGATTACCATAGGGCCACAAGAGCAACAAAAAGAAAATCAATGGGGGAATCTGCTCAATACCTTAGGGCTGTGTCTTGACTGGCAATTAAGAAGTCTATACTAGCCGCTTGAATTTCTACAAGAACACTGACGATCTCATGTAAGAAATCAGTGCTTCTTGCTGAAATACTATGCTGCTCCCGTTCGGGCAAAAGTCCTTTTGCGCAAAAGCTTTTGCGCAAAAGGGCCAGTGTAGACAGCTCTGTCTGGTTTTGCGCAAAAAAGCCCCGATCACGAAAATGGCGATCGGGACTTTCTTGGGCAAAACTGTGTCTAGATCGGCAAGGACGCTTTTCCGCAAAAAGTGCTTTTGCGGAAAAGCGTCCGTGCCAATCTAGATGCTCTTTTCCACAAATGCTTTTAACAGAAAACTTTTCCGTTAAAAGCATTTGCGGAAAATCATGCCAGTCTAGACATAGCCTAGAAGTTTATACACAAAAGTAAGGCATATAGGGAATAAACAGAAATAACTGGAAATATTAGTATATAATAGTATAAATTTGGTGACTCTAGCTCTTTCCATTTAGTAGGAGGTCTTGAACAAATGGGCTTGCAGACAGACAAACAGACAGACAGATGCACTCTAAAATAGATAGATAGATAGATAGATAGATAGATAGATAGATAGATAGATAGATAGATAGATAGATAGATAGATAGATAGATAGATAGATAGATAGATAGATAGATAGATAGATAGATAGATAGATAGATAGATAGATAGATAGATAGATAGATAGATAGATAGATAGATAGATAGATAGATAGATAGATAGATAGATAGATAGATAGATAGATAGATAGATAGATAGATAGATAGATAGATAGATAGATAGATAGATAGATAGATAGATAGATAGATAGATAGATAGATAGATAGATAGATAGATAGATAGATAGATAGATAGATAGATAGATAGATAGATAGATAGATAGATAGATAGATAGATAGATAGATAGATAGATAGATAGATAGATAGATAGATAGATAGATAGATAGATAGATAGATAGATAGATAGATAGATAGATAGATAGATAGATAGATAGATAGATAGATAGATAGATAGATAGATAGATAGATGTGTAACATAGGCTGAGTTACCATAAGAATCTTAGCTATTTCCTGACTTGTGTATTTAAATTTAGAGTCTTAGTGTTGTATTATATATATATTTTAAAATTGCTACTTTTAATATTTATGAGTATGGATTTATAGGGCCAGCTAACAATATATACAATCAATGAAAGAGAATTGCCTGTTATTTATTTATTTTTCATTAGCCCAGAGGAACCCCAACAGTAATGTGATTCTTTATTTGAAAAGAGAAATCACCAGTGTCTTGTATTTAAATTGTTACTTTTTAAGGATATGAGGCAAATATAAAATATCCTGTCTATTAGTTTCTTATAAAGTAATGCCTTTGTACAGTACCTCACTCATTGTTACACAGTTCCTCACCAACACACAGCTGTGGTTGTAATATCATTGACTTATGAATTCATTGTCTTAAATTCTCATAATTCTTCATAGATTTGAACATTGTTTAATTAGAACTGATTGAAAATTCTGACAGAACTGTTTTCTGTTGGAAAATGCTAATTCAATTAAACGGGGACCTTTTACAGGTTTAATTTAATTAGACATACTGATTTTTGTCAAAATGTTTGATGAGACATTTGCAAAGTGCTTCATTTCAGTTATCATTTTGACATTTATATTATAATATACATAAAAGTTTTGATAAGTTAGTGTAGATATTGCCAAAACAAAATGTAAACATATTTTTTTTGTGGGAATTTTTGAAATGTTTACTTTTTTCATTCTGATTCAGGACAAAAGGAAATTTTAAATGTTGGAATTTCCTGAGGAATGGAATTCTGAGATTCCAGCAGCGCTAGTTTTCATCTCAAAACACTCTTCTCTGCCACTCTCACTCTTGCAACTGAGGTTTCCAAACAGTGGTGCATAGATTACTTGCTGGGTACATATGGAGGGACTGGTTTGACTTGTTATAAGCTAGTAAATTGCATGGAAAGAACATGACATTAAAAGATTTCCCCATTTCTTTTCCATGATAGCAATCAGTTTAATTGTCACAAGAATGAACAAGGGAAGGGATGTGATTCATATAATCATGACTCAGAGGAAAGCTTGTCCTTGAGGCCTTTATTAAGAACATGTGGAGGGTTAACAAACATATTTTAGGCTTGGTATACACTGAAAAGTTAGGTCAACAAAGCCACAGCCCTGACTGATGTGACTATATCCCAATCTCACCTCCAGCGTAGACACAGTTATGCTAATAGAAGAATGATTCCATTAATATAGTTACCATCATTCAGGAAGGTGATATTCCTGCACTGGCAAACACCTCTCTCAGGATATGTCTGCAGGGTTTTTTTTTTTAAAGTAGCCTTTTTCGAAAAAACTTCACCTGCATCTAGACTGCAGCTGTGTTCTTTCAAAAGTAAATCGAAAGAACGGGCAGTTTTTTTGATCATGGTAAACCTCATTTTATGAGGAATAATGCCTTTTTTCAAAATAGTGATAGAAATGTAGCCGTGTTAGTCTGGTGTAGCTGAAACAAAATACAGGACTATGTAGCACTTTAACGACTAACAAGATGGTTTATTAGATGATGAGCTTTCGTGGGCCAGACCCACTTCCTCAGAATAAATAGTGGAAGAAAATAGTCACAACCATATATACCAAAGGATACAATTTTAAAAAATGAACACATATGAAAAGGACAAATCAAATACATTACAAAGATAGCTTCCCCAATTATCACCTCTAATACCATTAGCTCACAGACATTTACCTTCCTCCTCCCCCCCGCATCCTCCTTCTGTTCTGAAATTTGATTTGTCCTTTTCATATGTGTTCATTTTTTAAAATTGTATCCTTTGGTATATATGGTTGTGACTATTTTCTTCCACTATTTGATCTGAGGAAGTGGGTCTGGCCCACGAAAGCTCATCATCTAATAAACCATCTTGTTAGTCTTTAAAGTGCTACATAGTCCTGTATTTATTTTCAAAAGTTCTCTTTAGAAAAAAGGCGCTATTGAATGCAAACTGTGCTTTTTTGAAAGAGAGCGTCTAGATGTTTTTTCGAAAAATCTGCTTGTAGCCTAGATGTTCTTTTTCGAAAGAGGCTTGTAGTCTAGATGTACTCTCATTGATGTAGGCTGCATCTACACTACAGTGTTATGCTAGCATAGCTAAACTGACATAACTATGCAAGTACAGGCAGTCCCCGGGTTACATACAAGATAGGGACTGTAGGTTTGTTCTTAAATTGAATTTGTATGTAAGTCGGAACTGGCGTCCAGATTCAGCCGCTTCAGAAACTGACCAGCAGCTAGCTACAGGAAGCCCGAGGCGGAGTTGATCAGCCCTGGGCTTCCTGTAGTCAGCTGCTGGTCAGTTTCAGAAGCGGCTGAATCAGGACGCCTGGGGCAGAGCAGCTGGGGTGCTGCTGGGTTGGACCAGCTGCTCTACCCCAGGCGTCCGCTAGAAAAGCCTGGTCTGCTGGGGGGGGAGCGCTAGCTGCGCCCCCCCCCAGCAGACCAGGGAGATGCGGAGCAAAGCAGCGGAGGATGCGGGCGGGATCGCGGCGTGTCTCGGCGGTCCCGCCGCCCGCTTGTCCCTGGTCAGCTGGGGGGCCCCCCCAGCAGACCAGGGAGATGCGGAGCAAAGCAGCGGAGGATGCGGGCGGGATCGCGGCGTGTCTCGGCGGTCCCGCCGCCCGCTTGTCCCTGGTCAGCTGGGGGGCCCCCCCAGCAGACCAGGGAGATGCGGAGCAAAGCAGCGGAGGATGCGGGCGGGATCGCGGCGTGTCTCGGCGGTCCCGCCGCCCGCTTGTCCCTGGTCAGCTGGGGGGCCCCCCCAGCAGACCAGGGAGATGCGGAGCAAAGCAGCGGAGGATGCGGGCGGGATCGCGGCGTGTCTCGGCGGTCCCGCCGCCCGCTTGTCCCTGGTCAGCTGGGGGGCCCCCCCAGCAGACCAGGGAGATGCGGAGCAAAGCAGCGGAGGATGCGGGCGGGATCGCGGCGTGTCTCGGCGGTCCCGCCGCCCGCTTGTCCCTGGTCAGCTGGGGGGCCCCCCCAGCAGACCAGGGAGATGCGGAGCAAAGCAGCGGAGGATGCGGGCGGGATCGCGGCGTGTCTCGGCGGTCCCGCCGCCCGCGTCCTTTGGGGCGAGAAAAGCCCCGTTCGTAACTGTGGATCCGACATAAGTCGGATCCGCGTAACTCGGGGACTGCCTGTATAGCCTTTGTAGTGTAGACACAGGCTTAAGAAAAGATTTGTAAAACCTATCTTAGGCCATGTCTATATAGAAACTTTGGTCAATGCAAGGTATGTTGGTCTACAGCTGCTAAAGTTAGTAAATTGCTTATGTGCAGGTAATACTTGGCTGCTTCTTTGGCACTCCCCATATTCATCAGGAGTACTTGTGATAATGAAGTGTAGTGCATTAGGGGCAGGTTTCCCAGTGTGGCACTGTCCGGTGCAATGCCATTTGGGAATTTTTTGAAATATGTTGTAGGGTAAAAATGAGTCTCAGAGATATCGAAACATCATATACCCATCATGTAACTTTTTCCATCCTGTAATGTCAGCCACATCACATAATTTTCACAACTTCTTTTAAAATTCACAAACCAATCTAGTCCTTTTTGTCGTTCACCCTCTGCTGTCCAGCATATGGGCCTGAGCAATTGAAGGATACCAGCCTGCACAGTTTCACTCTGCAGCCCTAGCCGTGATGAGTATGGCGTGCCAGGAATGGGTGAAGATGGATAGGAGGAGGGGGAAAGATTTTGGATTGTATGACACAATACAATTTCAGTCCTTATTTCTGTAGGGGAACAAAGGCACAGAAAGCACAGCTGCTGCTTGTGTCCCAACATGGCCCAGGCCATATACCACTAGACTGTTTATTGCCATAATGTCTGCACTCAGTCCTGACCTCAGAAGACTGCCCATCATTCCATGTTTCTGTTCGAGATAGGCAAACACCAAAAAGTGATGGGTAGATTGGTGGGATTTAAAAACAGAAAGATACACAAAAATCAAATGCAGTATTTAATCTAATATTAAATGTATTTGGTTAGTCATTCAAATCCAACCTTTTGCACGTATGGTATATACAAAGCCCTATATATAAACACAGTTTCAGTTGGAACCAGAGTTGATTCATTTCCACTGAACTGATTTTATATTAACTATGTGTTGATTTCTTCTCCAGATATTTGCCAATGTTATCCCTAATGATTACTCTTTTTTTTCCAACTAAAAAGCTTAACCCAAAGCCTAGTGAAGTCATTGGAAATCTTTCAATTGATTTCAATAGACTTTGGAATGACCCGAAGTACACTTGTGAATTAACCATGGGGAGTGAACCTCTTCTTTACCTTCTAATGGTAATGAGTAAATACTGTTCTGCTTACACTACAAGGACAGCAGAGATGAGTGTTCATAGCATCACTTTCTTCTCTTCAAATTAATTTGCTAACTCACATAAAAACTGCCTTGTCTTCTCTAGGATTTTACCACGAGTTAACTCTATTTAAGACTATGCCTTTTTTCCTAGTGAAGACAAAGTGTTAGAGATGTCAGAGGAGGGTAAACCATGTGAAAATGGATGTTGGAAGCTTTCCTAATTTTCCTTTCCTCCCATTCATCTCAATAATACATTCTGTCCCTTAGTTGTTTTGTTTCCTCCTCTACAAGGTATCTGTTTGGGGTTTTTTGTTTGTTTTTTGGTTTTGGTTTTTTGCCTAATTATGAGCAAGGAGGGAGAGGGAAATAGGTGGGAGACACTCTACAGGAACAGAATAATAATGGTCTTAGGACAGTTGAAGCTGATCAATGTGGTGATCAATTTTGCCCATAAGTCTACTGTATCAGAATTTGGCCTTGAGTGGGTAACTTCACATGCCTGTTATCAAACAGAAGGTATGTCTAAACTATGTTCTATTTTTTAAAGAGGATATGAAAATTCCTGTGGAATTTTTCTTTCGATCTCACTTTCAAAAGCAGAGCTTTCAAAAGTGAAAGTAGTCTGGATGCATTTTTTTGGGGAAAAAAACCTTTTTCAAAACAACTGCGTAAACCTCACTTTTTAAGGAAGAGCAGTTTTTTTGAAAAAGTTTTTTTTTCTGAAAGTGAGATCCATCGGAATTTCAAAAATAGAGCGTAGTCTAGGCATAGCGCACAAGTTTAAGGATGCCTTATTTATCAGAATATCCAAGCTATTACTTTAAAGGAAGGTTGGAAAGTGGTTGACAGTGGTAAAAGCAAAGTGAATCAGTAAATGATTCAGCTGTAATTCACAGGAAAATGATTATGCACCAGTAACTGTCCATCATCTTCCCTCGGAATTTCAAAAATAGAGCGTAGTCTAGGCATAGCGCACAAGTTTAAGGATGCCTTATTTATCAGAATATCCAAGCTATTACTTTAAAGGAAGGTTGGAAAGTGGTTGACAGTGGTAAAAGCAAAGTGAATCAGTAAATGATTCAGCTGTAATTCACAGGAAAATGATTATGCACCAGTAACTGTCCATCATCTTCCCTCCTCTTTTTCCTTTCTTCCAAACAAAATTCCATATATTAAAATGTTATAGCTCCCTCTTCCAGGCATGAGTAGTATTTATGAACCCTAATACAAAATGTCATAAATGGAAGAAAGGGGAAATGTATAGTAATGAATATAAATCATAGAAATAAGAGATCTAGAAAACTGATAAAGGAAGCAAAGTGACACAAGCAGAAATCTATGTCCAGCAGAGTTAAGGACAATCGGGAGTTTAAGTATACTGGAAAAAAGAATCCTGACACAAGCTGGGGTCCATTGCAGGATGGAAAAGGTAGAAATAGCAATAATCATTCAGAAAAGGCAGATGTGTTCAATAAATATGTGGTCTACATTTAGGGGAAAACAGATCATATAGTTTTATTTCAGTATGTTCAATAGCAACAACTACAGGTAGGCTGTTTTAATTCAGCAGCCCCAGATAACTCGCATCCAAAACTTTTAAACGAGCTGGCTGAGGAGTTTGGTGGACTGCTAATGCAGATTTTTTTCAAAGCAGAAGTACCGAAATAGGTTTTAAGACGTCCCTCCTGGTCTTGGAATCTAGGAAAAGATGAGCGAAGTCACCCCTCTCTGCGCTTGCTTCAGACGGAGTTGAGCCAAACGAGCAAGGTATCTCAGGTTCGCAGAGGCTTATGACCCTGGGGGCTTTATCACGGGGCGCGGAAGGGAGCGGCTCAGTGGTTATAAGCCGAGGTACAGCTGCCCCCGCGCCCTGTTGCAGTCGCGCCAGTTGCAAGGTGTGTGGTGCGGCGGCTCCCAGCGCGGGAAGCGAATTCTCCAGTCCCCAAAATAAACCCACCCCCAGGCGGGGGCTGCAGGTCAGTGAGGGGGAGCGCGGCGCGGTTCCCGCCAACGGAGCGCTGCCCACCTCAGCGTTTTCCATGTTTTCTTGCCCCCGCTTCATGCTCCCTCCCAAGGCCTCGGGACCGGGGGGCTGAGAGGGGAAAGGCTCCCGCTTGTGCCGTGGGCCGATTTCTCCAGTCCCCAAAATAAACCCACCCCCAGGCGGGGGCTGCAGGTCAGTGAGGGGGAGCGCGGCGCGGTTCCCGCCAACGGAGCGCTGCCCACCTCAGCGTTTTCCATGTTTTCTTGCCCCCGCTTCATGCTCCCTCCCAAGGCCTCGGGACCGGGGGGCTGAGAGGGGAAAGGCTCCCGCTTGTGCCGTGGGCCGATTTCCACACC